TGTTCCATTTAACTGATAAAAAACACTAAATGTTCCATTTAACTGATTAAAAACACTAAATGTTCCATTTAACTGATAAAAAAACACTAAATGTTCCATTTAACTGATTAAAAAACACTAAATGTTCCATTTAACTGATAAAAAACATTAAGTGTTTCATTTAGTTGATAAAAAACACTACACCTTCCATTAAGTTGATAAAAAATATGAAACATTCCATTTAGTTGATAAAAAACAATAAACGTTCCGGTTAGTTGATAAAAAACACTAAATGTTTCATTTAGTTGATAAAAAAAACACTAAACCTTCCATTTAGTTGATAAAAAATATGAAACGTTCCATTTAACTGATTAAAAACAATAAATGTTGCATTTAGTTGATAAATAATAATAATATATAATAATAATAATAATCATTTTATTTAAAAAGTGTCTTTCATGACACCGAAGGACACTTTACAGTAAGAACAAAGATCAACAGGAATAAAGAATATAAAATACATAAAGAATATAAAATACATAAAGAATATAAAATACATAAAGAATATAAAATGCGTAAAGAATATAAATATATATATATATATAAATAAATATATAAAAAACACTAAATGTGCCATTTAACTGATAAAAACACTTGATAAAAAACACTAAACCTTCCATTTAGTTGAGAAAAACACTAGACGTTCCATTTAGTTGATATAAAAACGCTAAATGTTCCATTTAGTTGATAAAAAATACAAAACGTTCCATTTAACTGATAAAAAACAATCAATGTTCCATTTGATAAAAACACTAAATGTGCCATTTAACTGATAAAAACACTAAATGTTCCATTTAGTTGATTAAAAAAAACTAAACGTTCCATTTAGTTGATAAAAAAAACCACTAAATGTGCCATTTAACTGATAAAAAACACTAAATGTGCCATTTAACTGATAAAAACACTAAATGTTCCATTTAGTTGATTAAAAAAAACTAAACGTTCCATTTAGTTGATAAAAAAACCCACTAAATGTGCCATTTAACTGATAAAAAACACTAAATGTTCCATTTAACTGATAAAAACACTAAATGTTCCATTTAACTGATAAAAAACACTAAACCTTCCATTTAGTTGATAAAAAAACCCACTAAATGTGCCATTTAACTGATAAAAAACACTAAATGTTCCATTTAACTGATAAAAAACACTAAACCTTCCATTTAGTTGAGAAAAACACTAGACGTTCCATTTAGTTGATATAAAAATGCTAAATGTTCCATTTAGTTGATAAAAAATACAAAACATTCCATTTAACTGATAAAAAACAATCAATGTTCCATTTAGTTGATAAAAAATATGAAACGTTCCATTTAACTGATAAAAAACACTAAATGTTCCATTTGATAAAAACACTAAATGTTCCATTTAGTTGATTAAATAAAACTAAACGTTCCATTTAGTTGATAAAAAAAACCACTAAATGTGCCATTTAACTGATAAAAAACACTAAATGTGCCATTTAACTGATAAAAACACTAAATGTTCCATTTA